GGGAAAGAGAAGGTTCTGATAAAGAACGCCACTAGCAGCCAGCCGTTCATGCTGGTTTAGGATGCAGAGGGCCCATTTTGACTTTGCACATAAGCATGGGGAAGGGCAATGCCTGTATTCTGTCTGGAGCTGCAATAAATGAGGTCTTTGAACTACTCAGGGAGTGAATGTACAGTCAAGCTCTTCAAATGGTGCAGCCTAGCAAACTGCTTTATTTACTCTGCAGTGCTGGGGCTTGCTGTAGGAGGGTCATGCAGCTGCCATGCGTGGAGCTTCATTTTTTGGTCTTCCTGGGTGACACTGACGGCCGTGCGCTGTGAGAAGCCAGGCTGTGGCTTTTGAACCTACCCTGAATCACGGGATGAGGAGGCTGGTGGCCAGAGGTGCGGGTTTGCTGCTCTAGGGTTCAGCCAGCACATGCTGCACTAGAGAGGTAAGGCCCAAGGCTTAGCTGCTCCTGCTGTGGCAGTAGTGGTCAGCTGCCTCTAGCTTCTGCACAGCCCTTCAGGTGCCCCCTGCTTCTGCTGGGGTAGAGATGAGTTTCTCCCAGGCTCTGCTTCCCTCTGGTGGACGAGCGTTCCTGCTGCTGCCTGAGAGGCAGGCTGAGTCAGCCAGGAGCAGAGTGGTTCTGCTGGTGGTGGCAAGCAGGTCCTGGAACCAGAAGAGTTTCGCTGGTGCCAGTAATTCCTTACTGTTACTGGCACCAGTGAATTACAATATTCCTTACTACTTATTGGGGATGAGTGAGTGCTGGGAGGGCCAGAACTACACCGCTGCCATTGCTAGCTCGTCTGTCAGCCTGCAGTTTTGACTTGCACTGATGAGCACAGCAGCCCCCGCTTTGGGCTGTTAGCAGACACCTTTTGTTCATGCTGCTTTTTCTTCCATCCTGGTTTGTATTTGCTCTTATCTTCCTTCCATCTGTGCTGGCTCTCAAGTGTTCATTATCCCTTTAAGCCCTCAGATGGATGACCATGCCGAAAGCACAGCAATGAGGGCAGTGGGGCTGCTGTCCTGCCAGCAGAGAGGAGTGCTTGGGCTCAGCAGCCTGGAGCTAGAATGGATGACGATGACAAAAGTTGAGGCTGGAAGTCACAGGCACTCTGCACCTTTTTCCCAGCTCCAAGCTGCAGCCACATCGCTGTGCAGACCCCAGAGGCCATGGAGCAGGCAGGGGCATGAGGGAGCTGGCCAGGCATGTGGTGCCAGTTTTTGGGTTGTGGCTGCAGAGTGCTGACAGACGGTGGGTGACACCAACCCGGGGCTCGAAGTACGTTTGAGAACAGATTTGGGGCTCTCCCTTGCTCAGCACAGTTGGCCAGGCCTGGCTGGTCCAGGTCAGAAACAAAAGGACACTTCCACAGGTGATACCAAGTGATTTATTTTTCTCAGAGGGCCAGGGAGGAGGAGAGCAGAGGCTCCCACCTCACCCCACAGCACACATTACCCACACACACATGCAGTCAGAGACAGGCAGGCCCCAGGCTCACACATCAGCCAGCAGGGCCCAGGGGTGATACACTTGGAAGCCACAAAATATAACAGGGCAAGGGGGAGTCACCATGTAGCAGCAGAGCTAAAAACTGTAGTGAGGAGCCCTGGGGCACGGTGCTTCTGGGATGCCCCAGAAGGGGCACATGGCCTTTCTCCAGGCCTGAGCACCTGGGCTCCCTTTCCCACGAGGGAGGAGACAGCCAGGCCCAGACCACAGCCTCCTCTCTTGGAGACACCAACAAACACAGGCAGAGACAGAACACAAAGGCTGCAAAACCTCATGTGTACCCCTGCCCAGGGCAGGCCCTGCAGGCAGAGCTCCCTGTGCCAGCAGGGAGAGTGGCTGTGCCCAGCTCCAGGCAGGAAGGACAGCCTGCCTAGCCCACCAACTTGTTCCACAGGACAGTGCTGAAGAAGGAGTGGGACTTCAGCTTCGCCATGCCACCTCCTCCAGAGCCCAGGCGCTGGTTTGGGTTGTACTGCAGGAGCTGCAGAGAAAGAGGATGGAACAGCAGGATGAGGAGAGAGGGACTCTGGAAAAGCAACCCAGGCTGGACATCGGCTTGTAGCTCTGTCTTCCCTCCCAGCCTCTTGAGACCCTCACCTCGGTGAGCAGTGATGTAGCAGCCAGGCTGAGCCCCTCTGGCACATGCAACTGGGTGTGAGGTTGAATCCCTGAAGGGTGGTTTTGGGACAGTGGCTGCAGGAAGCAGAGGGTGATGGTGAGCAGAGACGCTGAGGAGGGTAGGATCACCCTCGTGGCCATGCATCCCCTGTCCTACACAGCAGGATTTAAAACCCAGGGCCCTGAACACCTCAAGACCATGCACAGGCACTTGGAATCACACCCCTGAAACAACCTGGCACCCTCCCAGCACCTCCATGGCAGGGAGCCCTTGAGCTACAACATCACCTCCTCCTCCCCACTCCTTGCACAGCTCCTCTGCCTCTTACCACTCCTGTCAGCAGCTCATACAAGAGAGAGCCAAAGCTCCAGCAGTCAGCTGCTTCAGTGGGCTCTGCAATCCCCCCAACTTCTGCAGAAAGAGCCAGAGAGGCATTAGAGCTGGAGGCTGGAAGCACCAGTGGCTGTACCGTGCTGGGCACCTCCTGCTGCCTGCAGAAGCCCTCTCCTGCAGTCAGCAGCGCAGGGGGCAGGATGAGGCAGGGGACACATCCCTTACCTGGGGCACTGTACAGCTGTTCCTGGGCCTGGCTGCAGCACTGGGGCTCCACCTCTGTCCACTGGCCAAAGAAGGTGAGACGGATGTGACCTGCAAAGGAGCACCAAAGGCAAAAGCAGGGCGGTTAGCACAAAGCTAAGGACTTCTCTTGGAGCACAAAGCCAAGCCCTATCCTAGCAACTGGGAACAGCTAGGGCACTGGGCCCCTGTTGTGCCCTGAATACAGAGGCACTGCACATTCCCTGGCACTGTGCATCCCCTGGACTCCCAGTGCTTGCCCAAGATACCCAGCAGGCACTCACAACTGGCGAGACTGGTTAGGTGGGCTTCAAGCTCACAGACCTCAGTGCAGGCCATAGTGAGGAAAGAATCATCTCTTCAGCAGTTAAGGGGTAACTTGCCCCTTGCAAAGCTTCCTGCATTTTTCTTTTCCTAAGCAATTTGTGCCTCTGCAGTTTGTCCCAGATGTTACCAGCTGAGCAGGAACTTGCCCTGACAATGGTACCCATGGTTCAAAGTGATGGGACAGCTCCAGAATACCTCAGCGCAACTACAAGCAGGGGAGAACTGCAATCCCACTAACCTCAGGCACAGTTCAGCTGATCTCATCTTCCCCATGCTGGGATTTCCCAGGCAGCCAGCCCCTGTGTGGGTGCAGGGGCAATGCATTCCTGTGGCTATGGCGCCTGACTCTCCTGCTGCAGAGCCAAGTATTGTAATAACTGCTTGGAAATCCCAACCAAGACCATGCTTCCATGCTCAGAAACACTCAAACCTCCCCAGGCTCTCCCCTCCCCCAGAGCAAACTCAAGGAAGCCCATGTCCCTTGGAAACAGAGCAAATGGATGGCAGTCTCACAGCGGAGAGGCCAACCTCCTCCTCACGACAGCAGCCAGGGCACTACCTACCAGTTGCATCAAGTAGCAGGTTCCTGGGGTTGAGGTCCCGGCACAGCACGCCCTGCTGGTGAAGTCCCTCTAGGGCCAGGAGGATTTCTGCTGCCCACAGCTGCACCTGCTCCTCCTGCACAGCCCATGCCCTGCGCCCATGCCCACAGGAAGCCAAAGCCTCACACTGTTCTGATGGTGGCTGCTGGCCGAGCCCTCCGTAGGCTACCCGCGAGGGCTTCCACGCCACCGGGACCTGCCCGCGGGGCTGGGCAGAGCTGGATGGAGCGACTCCTGCATGAAGCCGCCTCTGACCCGAGGTCAGGAGGGACCGAGCCCCAGGGAGCTCAGACGCTTGCCGAGGCAGTGGCTGGGCCCCTCTCGCAGTGTTCAGTATGGGTGCAGGCATGTGGGGAAGCCTGTGGTCTGGCTGCGAGGCTGCTCTCTCTGACACACAGCCTGTGCTGCTGGTTAGGGCATCCCAGGGGTAGATGACCAGGCCCTGGCTGGTGAGGTGGCTGGGGCCTTTTCACAGTCCATGGGGGTGGGAGTCTGCTCCCGAGGGGGCAAGGAGTCGGTGTTTCCCAGTACTCGGTGGGCTGTAGAACCTGGGAAGCCATTGCCTGTCCGAGCAGAAAGGATAGAGGCTTGGCTGCTGCCCTGGGAGCTTCCCACGCCGTCCTCTCTGCCAAGGTCCCTCAGGGCTTGAACAGTGTTTGAATCTGCAGAGCCCTGCTGGACACAGTACTTGGAGCGGAGGTGAGACCACAGTGTCTCTCCTGGAAAGCAGAGAGAACAAGTAACAGACAGAAAGCACCCCTGGTTCCCTCACTGCAGACACAGCCCATTCAGGGACAGGCCAAGGCCCACATACTGGGGACACGATCAAGCATCTTTAATCTCCTCTGCAGCAAAGCTCAAGTCCATGCAGAACACAAGAGCACACCTTGCTCAACCTTCCCTGGGACCTAGCACACCATTACCCCCTCCTGTAGCAGCCCTGCTCCCCATTCTGCACAGTCTCCTTGATCCCAGCTCTACCACTTCCACGTGTTCATACATGCCCATGACCCCACTGCCATCCCCACTTTCCTCCCGTGTGACAGAGATGCCAGAAAGCTCCCACCGCACGTCACAGAGCCCATGGGTCAGTGATGAGCCAGAGCAATGAGCGCTGAGCCCACAGCATGGTGCCAGGGCTTCCCAGCCTCACTAAGCTCAGCTGCTGGCTGCTTTCTGCAAATCCATCCTGCAGCAATGCACAAGGATTGAGGCTGTTCTCCAACACATCAATGTGCATTTGTCATCGCTGGACTCCAGCTGCTGCTCCCTACACATCCATTCGACCAGCAGAGAGTGAAGAAGCTCGTTGGAACAAACTTCTTCACCAGGATCTGGGACAAGCCTCATGTTTTCACCTCCTTGTTGTACCTGAACCCTTTATGCCCCAGTTCTCCATCTCCTCTGGTGTGAACTCAAAATCCAGTGTGACCTCTTCTTTTATAACAACACAAAAAAGTTTTATAAAGCTCTTAGCAAAAGATTGGTTTGTTCTACAGCATCCAGGTGAATCGCCTCACTTGGTTCTCCTCTATCACCCTTCTGTCATGGTTAAACAACACCAGTAAAATTAAGAGGTTTTTCTTTTCAAGACTCTGGACCCCATCAACCCCTTTACCTCAAGGCATGACCATTCCCTCCCATGGGAGTCAGTTGTCCTTAAGGCTAGTTTCCATATAACACACACCCCCTCTTTCTCCTTGTAGGTGTCTACAGGCCCATTTCTAGTTTACTTCCCCAGTCAGCTCTTACCAAACCCCCAGAATCCCCAGTACAGCAGATCAGCTCCTTCCACAAAGTCTCCAAGCCCTGGTACCCACCACCCATCTATGAAGAAGACAGCTTGTGCTGTCACTATAAAAACCAGTCCCAAAGCAGCAGGATAAATATATTTGAGATTTTAAAGAAAGGGAGACTGGGGATAAGAGCAGGATGCTCCATGGATAGAAAGCAGTGCTGTCCCCACTCACCCTGCACGTGTTCCAGGTGAAGGAAGATGGAATCCTCACTCACAGAGTAGCACAGCAGCTTGACCATGAAGGGGACCCCATGAGGGATGATGGTCTGTCGCTCACGGGTCTCGACATGGGATTTGGGGAGGCTCTGAGGAGGTACAAGTAGATGGGTGTTACAGCATGGTAGGGACTCCTTGCAGCCTAGCAACTGGTAGGGCAGGAGGCCAGCCAAAAAGCTAGCACACCATCTACCAAGCCCCGTGGCTGCTCCCCAGCACCACCTGCAGTGGAGCTCCCCATCTGGAAACCTGCAGCCCATGCTGAGAGGTCTTTCAGCCCCCCACTGTGACATGGCAGGGCTTTGCAAAGCTCTGCCAAGGCAGAGCACTCCCCATCTGCACTGAAGGACTCAGAGGACACCACTGGTCCAGAGCAGTGGTGTCTCTCACAACTGCCCCTACTCTCTTCAGACAGAAACCTGCCATCCCAGCCCTCTCTCCTGTCCTCTCTGGAACTGAAGCTCACGCCAGAGGCTTCTTGCCCAATTATTGAAGTTCTAGTTCCAAGGGCACTGGAAAATGCCCGAAGACTTGTACAAGTACCTCACCCATGATCTGTTTCAGGGGTTGACCCAGATTCACAGGGTCATAAGGCTTGGCTGGTAGCCTTATAAAGCAGAGAAACAGATGACCCAGGACACCAAGGAGAACCACTTCCCTTATGGAAGCTTTATGAACATGAACTTCTTCCAACACCTCTCTGAACTGCTATTTTTCGGTCCTCTCACCTGCCCCAGCCATCTGCTTGGGCAAGGAGGCTCTGGCAGGACAGGGAGAAGCAGGCAGATGAAACTGAAAGCACCCACCTTAAGTATAAAGGTTGCACCAGTGGCTGGATCCTGGACGATCTGCACCTGGGAGTGGTATATACAGTGCTGGTCAGAAGCAGTGACTGCTCCTACCCCAACACACAGCTTAGAGGAATGACCCAAGGGCCTCAGCTCTGGAACTGAAACAAACTCCTACCCAACTAGAGGAGTCTGGGGTGCTCAAACCCCTACTCTTTAAAGCCAAACCACAGGTTGTTAGCAATGAGACAACCAAGCAGCCAGGGAGTAGAAAGTTAATAAATCCAAGAGGTGGCTCCCACATCACTTGCTTCCTTCACAAAGGAAGGCTTCATGCTGCTCCTACTGGGCTCTGTGGGGTGTGCTGGGCCACCCATCCGGGCCTGGGCAAGACAGGAAGACCACATCAGCCCTCCCAAGCCGAGATGTGTGAATGCAGAGGAAAGCAGTGTGCCAGTGTGTGTATGGAGACGGTAAGCCTGGCATCTTTGCTCCAAGATCATGAGCTACTAATTTGTTTATTCATGCAAATAGCTTGTCTTCTGCTGAAGTCTAGATAATCCGTAGGAGTCCACCATTGTGGTACCTAGCCATCAAGCAAATTCCATGCATTGAAAAGAACTGGATGCATCAACCTCCTTGTAAATATCTTGGGAACTCTGGTAAGCAGAAGTAATAGGGACATTAACAGATTTCCCAGCTAACTCCTAAAGGGTCTTACATCTTTGCCTGCCAATTTTCCTTAGTGGGAATGGTGTAGATGTATACCCTTGCTGTGGACATTCCTTGGTGGCTGTGCTGGGTCCCAGCAGCCTCATCCCAGCTGCCAGGACCATCCAGCTGACACTTTGGTCCAGCCCCAGCTTCACCCCCCCCAGTTCCAGGTTGAGTCATTACCTTATCGATCAGTCCCACAACCTTACACCGTCTCAGATTCTCCACTGCCGAGCTCAGTGTCCTGATGGGCCGGAAGCGCAGGCTGCTGTAACCCTGCAGGGCAGAGAGAGAAGAGGATGAGGGATCTAGAAATGCTACCGTCCATGACAGTGGGTAGGAGAAGTCCCTGCATTTTCCAGAGGAGGCAGCAATACTGCCAGGCTGGTCAACATATAGAGACATGGCCATGGTTGATTCCTTACAGCAGCCGGACTGTTTTCCTGGCCAGCTCCTGGATCTCTGAAGTTCCCAGGGAAAGCTTACACCTGCAGCAGATGTAAAATCACTCCAAAATTTGGACTTGGACTGCCTCAGCACTAACGGGATCTGTATGGATATGGAAGGAAGTTGCCTTTCTCCCGTCATCCTTCTCACCAGGCCCCAACTCTACTTGCCTCAATGCCATCTCACTTCATTAACCACCTTCTCCCACAATGCAGCAAGCAGCCATCTTTGGTTTCCATCCAGAAGGGAACAATGATGGGGAAGACAATATTTTTAATATGTTACAATGTGATTCCCCCCAGCGGCTCCAGTCCCACCAAAAATGGCCATTTTCACTACAGTGGCAGCAAGCTAAACGTACACACCTCAGGGGGTGGTTTTCTCTACACCACCTTACGGTGGCATCTGGCAGAGGCAGTTGAAGAGGCTCACTGGGGCTCCTGTGTGTCCGTCTCAGGTTTCCCAGTGCCACATATCCGCTGACATCCCACCCAATGCCATCGCATGCCAGTCCCTCACCGTGGCGGTGGGGTTGCCACTCCCTGCAGCCCGCTGGAGGTGGCAGTTGAAGATTTCCTCTGCACGCCTCAGGTACTGTGTGATCTTCCGCTTCACAGCCTCCCGGCGCTCCTTGTTGGGGTCAACTGTGGTCAGTGCAGAGGGCAGGCATGAGAGGCTGCTGTGCTCCCCAGAGGTATGCCCTGGTCCCACACCCCAGAGGGATGCCCCAGTCCCCTGGTCACATGCCCCAGAGGGATGGCCTGGTCCCACTCCCCTGAGGAATGCTCGAGTCCCACTGCCACGCTCCCAGAAGGAATGCCCTGGTCCCCTCACCCTTCTCCCAGTAGGGATGCACTGGCCCC